GGCCATTTGGTAAGTGGTAATAATCGGCAAAAGTAGGCAGAAAGGGGCAGAAAGTAGTAACTCTTATGTTGCACAGCACTATCGTCGTAATACTTTTTCGAGTTGAGCTTTTCAGACTTTTGATGCTGGGAACTATTTCCGGATTTTATGCGAAGAAACAGATGAAGGACGCAACTGGAGTGTGTTCACAACGAAAGATCTCCATCCAGTTGATGAAAACAAGTGCGTGGTATTTGGACAATTCGTTATACATTATGGACTTTATTCACGCGCAGTTCGGCGACGGGGGGGGGGCATTTTGCTTCCCATCGATGTGTCGACCCATCTAGACAGCCTTTTCTTGAGTTGACACGTTTTACCATGGTGGCTAGACGAGCTTGCTCCAGCTTCACAAGAGTTCACAAGTTTCACCAGAGTGAGACTTGTAAACCGGAAGTAGTGAAGCAGTGAAAGTGCAAAATGCCCCTCCCCCGCCCGCCGAACGCGCCCGTTATTCATTATCTTCCTTCTGTTTAGTATTTTCCTTGTCGACCACGCCTGGACGTTTCGTCCACATCAAGCACGGGCACAACTCGAAGAGCATCCACAACTCGTTGATCGAATGGCCAGGTTACTTGATCTGACTGTAAGTGAAGCATATTTTCTTTTCGAACTACTTGTTGGTCAAGAAGTGGGACTATTCTCTTTGTTGGGTTTCTTCAAAGCACGTGAAATCATTCATACCCTACTTGAACTGAGTAGGTTGGCCTGATCATTCTTCTGTTTTTATTATTCTGAGCTAACCTTGTGAATAAACGCGTTGAACGGAGAAAAAGTAGAAGGAGTGAGGGGAGGGGGGGGGTCTACTGACCTGAGGCCTGAGACAGTTTTCTGATATGTCTGGTTTTCAAAGGATCATGAACTCTGACCGCGATTCGAAATCCTCCGGTTGATATGCAGCAGTTTCCCCAAGCGATGTTCATTCTCTGTGTTATGACGACTGTTTGTCATCCGCTTTAGAACGGTAAGCGCCCAGGTCGCCGACGTCCCACGCCGATAGGAGCCGGCGGCCTTAGGTCACGAACCAAATGCTCTATCGGCGTAAACTACTTCTAGAGACAGGTCTTAGGCTAACATCTTCAGGTGTTCTCCAACGCTTGAGGAGCCAAAGCTAATACGTAATTCGTGTACAGGGGATGAACTACCTCAGGGAACGAAATTTTAGCCAACTGCGGCTTCGGGAAAAATCCCAGTCAAATTTCGGCCTAATTCCTGGAAGAGGCCGGTAGTAAATTATGAGTTGTAGCACGAATGGAGCGGAATGCATGGCGTAATCCAAAAATAGATCAACTTGAATGTGTAACTTATAGGCGGATGACGAGTGTGTCTACACTGAGCACAATGAACAAGAAAATGACAGTGATCATGAAGTGACGACGACAGATGAGCAAGAGCGTTTGAAAGTCGAAGAAAAGATGCAGGCCTGTTCTGAAAGCAGTGCGTTTTCGGCATATTTTTTGCTTCGTCTAATGATATGAACATGATTATATAATAGGTTCAGGGGTTGTTAGGAGGTGTACAGCACCCTTGAAAATTGCGCGTGGGATTAATTGTGTTGTCCTGGTTCTGTGTGGACCACTTCGATGATGAGGCGTAGGGTACTCGAACCCGACCGTGGGTGGGTACCTGCCGGGTCGCTACCTGCGTGGCGGCCGCAGTACCCCGAGCTTCCTGCCCCTGCGCCGCGGAGTGCGGGCTTGTGATGGCGTCAAAGATGGATCGTACATCAGCCTATGCAAAAGCCGTATAACAGGAGCTATTAAACGCACCTCAAACTTGGGTAACTAAACCGATTACGGTGCGCCCGATTGTGTGCGTTCACGACGCGACATTTTTAACTTCACGCGCAATTTTCGGGGGTACTGTACACCGCCTAACAACCTGAACTTATAATCTTGTATGATATGGTTAGCACCTGTCGTTCAGCTTCTCCTCTTCCGCGACAGGAATCTGTGGATGCTCGTCTTTGTTACATTGTCAAGGATGATACGACCGTTATTGATGATATCCTTCGTAAAATGTGGCAATATATTCAAACGTACACTGTGAGATTCAAGCCGGTAAGTTTAAGAAACACGTCGTTTCTCCTCATGCGAAGCAGTGTTTGGTGTTCTAGGAAATAGATGAAGAAGGCTTGCCGATTTGGTACATCATGGACGAGTTTGGTGTGAGGATCTCGCACTCGGACACGCCGAACGCGAAAGTTGTACCCTTGTACTTTATACCGCACAACACTACTTACAGTGTGGTGTTTCTCACAAAGGAAGTGGCTGATGGTGGTGGGTACTGTATAACAGATGTGTATCTGTTCAAATTGGTGTTCTGATGTCTCCCTTTCTAAGCAGGAAAATTTGCCATTTGTTCAAGTGCCCAGTTTTCAAATGGGCGGATTCATCGGGGGCGGAGTCAAGTGTGGCAGTTTGTGAAAGCCAACATTCTATATCCCTGGCATAATGGAACTGTGAAAAAACTAGTGCAACTAGAGTTTAACAACTATAATGTGCAAATATTAGGTTGTTGCATAAGTTTTCCCCCCTGTTTTGATCCTTCCGTATTTCGTTTGCATGGAGGTTGGTATTTCGTCATCACGTGTGCGTGACGTGTACATGACTTTCACCACACTAGCTATCACTCACCCATCCTGCATTTGCAGGCTACAATGCCGCACAATTACCAGTGCAAAACCATGTCACAGTGGTGATTGTGCGGCATTGTGGCCTTCTTCGGGTCCCAGCCCCTTCTGGGACGATGGAATCGACAAGCTGCCTGAGCGTTGGCGTCGAGTAGTGGATGGTGCATACCTCTAATCTTCAGGCTGGTTCGCTATTGAGATATTTACAAAAAAGTCGGGGGAAAGAACTTATGCAACAACCTAATAGCATTCGCAGTGGAAAGTGGGCGGCAGTCTGGAGCGGAGCCCCAAGGGTCTCCTGTGTGTGGGGGTAGTGCGTATGGCCCTCGCGAGGAAATTTCCTCTTTTCTTTTCAATTTTCTGACATCACGTTGGGAATACAAGAGAAAAATACAGAAGGGATAAAGGTTTCACCGTTGATCAATCCTTTTTGAGACGAGGTGTGTGTGATCCTGGTTCCAGTCAGTATCGTACTGAGTGAGTGAATGCAGTGTGGTCTGCACTGACTTTCGAGGGGGGAGTGGCAACCGATGTGTGAAAGACCTGGCAGATCTGGTGCCAATTCACCGTCCCTGAAGGGCGGAAAGCTCACTTGGCCAAGGGGGAACCGATTCGAGGTTTAAGCCCCGGACAGTGCGCGTGGCAAACGGCCCACTTGCCACTATACCATCTTAGCCGCTTTGCTAAAAATATAAAATATAACTGCACTCCTCATTACTAACCTTTTATTTCTACTTTTATGCACAATTTTTTTATATTTAAGAGGAAATTTGTCGTGATTACGCCGATAATGCTCTTGCACGAAAACAACCCGATTGGCGACGTTTCCTGATGGTTCCGTTTTTGGAGAAGGAATTAGAGTTGAAAGAGGAGATCCAACGTCAACCACCTGACGAGAATTTCTTCATAGTAAGAACACTTTTTTACTCACGCCATCTGTTTGTATTCATTGCTTGCTTCATTCACTTTTCATTTTTTTGATGGATCCTCAGTCAATATTAAACTCCTGTTTTTCAATGTTGATTTACAGCTTGGGGGCCTAATCGAAGGTTAGGAGTGTTTCTAGTGGATAAAGCACTTTATTTCTTTTTTTCTCCTTTCTTTTCCTCCTTGGCCTTCTTCTCCATCCAGGACACATCATCACGAGGAGGAACTGTTCTTTTGAGTGTAAGCCCCATCTTCTTCCAATAGATCTGAAGGTGCAGTCCTACTCCTCAATTCCACCTCTATCTACCGTCAATACCCATACTTTTGTCAAGCGGAAGTACATATACCAGGACACTGATAAAGCTAAAATTGGCTCATTCCGGCCATGGGAATGAGATTTTTGACTCTAGTTGCTTTCCATTGTCGCGTCGAGCCATCAAGTATAGGTTTGTGGGGAATTTTGTAAAGTTGCGACGTGACACCAGTCAAACTTGTAGAAACTATTTGCCAGCTGTTGTGAAAAATTCCTTTCAATTCTTGTTAAGCAACGAACACGACAACGGGAAGCAGCAGCGGAAGTACGCAGTGCCCCCCTAGCCGAACTGCTCCCAAACATTTGTTCTTTGTAAAAATTTCCACAACTATTCCTATCATCCGGACCCGACACCCATTCTTGTCATCCAGACCCTTGCGAACAAACCAAATACGATCCACTGCCCAACCTTCCGACTGCCTCAGTGGGAGGTTGGGGAGAGAGGATTAGTTCGCACTTTGTAATGGTGAAATGATAAGTCCCCATTATGACTGCTTTTTGTTAAGAGAACGTTGTTTCTTCGATTTCACGTTTTCGTTCAGTCTGGTCGATGCGGTGCATCCATCCCCTACTGAAGCAGTCTCAGCAAGTGCACATGAAGCATCAGAAGCGCGACTTGTCACGTCCACTTCGAATCTACGCTGATGGCCTCCAAATGATTGAGAGCCTCTCAGTTGTGAAGTACGAGGAAGTCACCAATTGGCGAAATGCCGATGTTTTGTGGCTGAAAAGGCATTTTAGCGCAATACGAGTAAGTAGTTATCTACAGAACTTTTCCTCAGTGTTCTTGGAAGTCAAACCAAGAGGACTGGAATCAACTTAGCAGTCATATCCAAACTTGACTAGGAACGATGAGACTTCGAAGCAGCAGTCATGGTAGGGCAAGACACACTTTTTGACGAAGCTCAGACTGTTCAACCTCGCCATTTCCGAGATTAATTTTAGCGTATCTGCTTCTGTGGGGGACAACGAATAGTGCTTGTCAAGGCCCCTGAACGACCTCCAAAGTCCTGTGACCGAGGTGGCTCACTCGAAAATTTCGCAGCTTCACAGGAGTTTATAGGTTTGATCAAAGTGACCTGTTGGTTGAAAAGAAGTGGCAAAAGGTGCTAGCGAAGGTGCAAAATGTCCTCTCCGACTCGACCGTGCCTAATTGTTTTCTAGTCATTTCAGCCCGTAATATATAGTATTTTTTTTCACCCTGCGCGAAATTTATATCACCTGATCTTATGCTGGGTGGGAGATCCGAGCTGCGGCGTCGCGCAGGGCTTCAATCATCGTACTTCGCTACGTGCCATGCTTTGTGTGCCTCGCACGACTTCGCTTGCAGCTCGGCTCGTTTTTCGCCTTTCAGTCACACTCGGACTTTCTGACCCCTCACTGTATAGAAAAACGCATCTGAATGTCGATGCGAGCGCGAAGCGGCTGCATGGATTGCCAAACTTCAGTTACTTCCTCTAGCATTTCCCGAAACAACCCTTTTACAGCCACCTTTGCGCGGAGAACCCGTCAGCTCTCGTCAATCAGTTTCCCCACGAAAGTTGTCTTACCGTGAAAGACCTCCTGTCGGCCATCCTCATGGATCAGAACTCAGGCGAAGGGCCGGCTTGGTACCAGGTTCGTTCAGTGAATGATTCTGAAGTTGTCTGCCATATTGATAGTGATTTTTAGACATGCTTCAACTTAAACACGGAATTACCACAGTTTGTGTCCTATTTCCTCCACAGAAAAGCACAGTACGTTGATTCGACCGAGTTTTTTTTTCTTTTCGAGAGTCAGTTGGTGCGAGGCTACTGGGTATGTGACAAGACAATCGTGAATCGCCGCACTGATGGGCGTCGCGTTGATGTCGTGCTCACAAATGACGATAATACTAAGCCTCTAGATGGCGACAAGAATCAAT